TTAAAATAGTAGTAGTAGTAGTTGGGTCTCATCAAGTCAGAACTGACTTATAACTGCTATTCTGTTGGATTTTCAAAGATGGTAAACCACACAGGAGGAGAGCCCCCATCTTTCTCCCAGGAAACTGATGGTGGATTCAAACTACTTGCCTTTGAGTTGGCCGGACAACTCCTTATCACTTGACCACCGAAGAATTGACCAATAAATCAAATCAGTAAAGTCTTCAGGACTTTAATTTACTAATGTGGAGTCACTCAGGGGAAAAAACCCCAAACAACAGAACAGTTACACACATCATTAATAATTGGATGATTGTAGGGAAATTGGAAGCTGTCAAAAATTAAATAGATATATAACAATTGCTCTCCTAGGCATTTGTGATTTGAAGTAAACTAGTGTTGACTTTTAAATTTTGATGGTTATATGGTATACAATGCTAGGAATGACATATTGGAAAGGATCAATGGCCTATTAATGATCAAAAGGAAACTTAAAGGTGTGTCCTGAAGTTCAGTGATGGGATAATACCTACAAGAAAGATTAGTCAATACAATTGTTGAAAATTCCACACTAACCACTAATGCAAAAAAATGAAGATATTTAAAATTTTTACCAACTTCTACAATCTGAAGTTGTTAAAAATTGCTAACATGATACAATGATAATTATTGGTGACTCAAATGTAAAAGAGGCTGCAATAAAAGTGTAATTCATGGGGAGCTCTGGTGGCCTAGTGGCAAGACACTGCACTGCAATCCCAGAAGTACGCGGTTTAAATCCACCAGATGCTCTGCTGGAGAAGGAGGGGACAATTTCCTCCCGTAGCAGTCAGATCTGATTTGACGGTACACTTAAAAATAATTCAATAAAAATAAAAAAAAAATTTTTAAAGTGTAATTCACTCACTCATAGTCAAATTGGAACCAACTCGTAGTTGACTCTCCAGCAGGTTTTCAGGGTCTGTAAATCACACAAGATGAGATTGTCTACCTTTGAGATGGCAGCTCAACTCTCCATCCACAAGGCCGCAGATGCTGCAAGGATTAATTAGTAGTTAGAAAAATAAATTCTTGGTGAGAGACATGATATGAAATAACATAGTAGAGTTTTGCAACATACCGTTTTCCAACAATAATTGTGACTATACACTGCAAACTTCTTTAGATGTGGTGCATAGAAATAAAATAAGCTATATTTGGAAAGAGATGATGGAGGAGGTCATCAGATGATGGAGGAGGCCAACTGTGGGACAGATCATCAATTTTTCATAGGCAAATTTAAGTTGAAGGTGAAGAAAGGGAAAATAAGTCCACAAGAGTTAGAGTACAAACTTAAATTCAACAGTAGATTTGCTGCATTGAACTCTAAAGGACCAAGACAGACGAATTGTGGGATGTCATCAAGGACTTAGTACATGGGGGGAAAAAAAGCAAAAAAAACAATGAAAAGACCAGAAAGGAATGGACAAATTGTACGTAAGGAGAGACCCTGAAAATTGCTCTTGTATGTAGATTAGTCACAAGTAAATGGTGATGAAAAAAAATTATATAAAAGAGCTAAACAGAGTATTTTAAAGGGTTCCTTGAAAAGACAGAATACTAATTCAAGTACTTCAACAGTACAGCAGTGGCAGTGCTCACTCATTTGTACCAGGAAATTTGGAAGGAACCTGTTTGACTACTGACTGGAAGAAAGCCATATTTGTGCCTATTCCAAGGAAAAGTGATTCAACAGAATGTAGAAATTGCCTTGCCCCTTCCTGGTACAAGTGTGTGCCCCAGAACTGTGCATAGGTGGTCTCTCCAAAACAAGGAAA